TTTCCTGAAGTCTCCATATGCCTTAGTGCTGGGATGTGGTACAAAGAATGAAACTTGATGCATTGATGATTTGTTGTAGTCCATGTAATGCTGGTTTTGGTTTGTTCTTCTTCGTAGCATGCACATCAGTGGTTTAGGAGCTTTTCTATTTCACTGAACAGATGTTGCCCATTTTAGGCTGTTCTCTTGGCTGTCTTGGGCAGTGTCATCTTCACATTTGGATTAGTTTCACCTAAAGCAGCTGCAGAGGACATTTATTTGGGGGAAATCAAAACCTTTTATTTTCTAGGTTCTGTATCTCCCACTTGGAAGCAAATGTTAGAGTAAAGCACATTACTGGAGGTCTCTTTCTGCTGCTTTTGCATCCTCTGGCATCCTGAAACTTTTTTTATTTAATTATGACTGAGTCTGTAGTTGGAGCTCTTCAAGATGACTGTCACTGCGCGTTTCTGTGTCCAAGTGTTCAAGGAAATAGGACTTTCTGTATACTTCTTGTAAATAAATAAGCTTACCCTAAGAACTATACCTGTTGAAACTTGTTCTCCAACTAGAAAAATTTTTAAAGCCACAGAACACTAGCTAAGTGCTGAAGATAAAAAGAGAGCAACTTCAGAAATACCCTCCGTAAACAGCTTTATGATCTGAAGATACAGAGGCAGGCATGTACTGGAGTTTGTTTTGAACATTAACATACAGCTAGAGGCTTGGAAAACCCAGAGTTTCCACCAAGACAGTTTAAAGTAATTGGTCTCTACAGAATTGCAAGGAGATTGTTTTAATAAATGTATTGAAGAGAAAAGCTTTTACTGTTTGGCTCAAAGACAGCGAGAAGTCAGCAAGTTAACCAGGAAAATGGTGGTGACTTTTACTTACAAAAGCAACTAGATGTTGCATATACTGGAGGATGAACACTATTACTATAGTAATAGTGAAATATACTAGAAAAAACCCTTAAGGTCTGCTTAAGGAAGTAACAAATGTCAAGGACTATCAATTCAGACAGGTTCCCACTGTTAGTGTTAATATGCTTTATTTCCCCCTTTTTTTGTCTGTTTTTGTTACCTCAAGAGCTAGAATTGCATCCCTGGAAGAAGAGCTTAAAGGCTTTTGAAAAGCCCTGAAGAACCACAGGTTCACTTTTTCTCTTCCCCATTATACTCTCGTGGCCACTCACAATGAGAAGCTCCTGCCCAGCTGTGCAGCTTCAGGGCTGGTCTCAGGGTTGCTCCCGTGGGCACAGCTCTCGTGGCAGGAGGTGCTGGGGATTGAGTCACAACTCGGAGCTTGGGATTCTGCCCCTTAGCCCACGGGCCTCGGTTTTGCAAGCAATTTAGCAATGGGAGCATCTCCATTAAGTTTATTAGATTAGGAGTGTGTATTAGGAAGCAGTGAAATGGGGTTCTTTAGAGCCCCAGACTTGCTTGTTTATTCATTTCAAATGCTGGTGCAACGAACAGCAATTTAGATGAGTGACCTAACAGTAGGTGTTCACTTTTGACTTTCTGGAGAATCAACATGGATGATCAAATGATGTCGGGGCTGTTGTGATCATCCACTCTGATTCTCCAGTGTGAAGTCATACTTCTGGTTGTAAAGCTGTGTTTGCAGTAGACTCCACGTGTCTTTTTAAAAATAACTGGTTTGATTTTTTAAAAGTCCACTCGGCTACAAGATTCTACTGTAGCATCAAGGATATTTTTATAATTTCCAGTGTTAAATTGTTATTCAGTATTCAAACTGATGTTCAAATACCTTTCCAATTTAAAAAAATGCATGTCTCTTCTAGGCCAAGCTTTTCTAGCTTTAGTTTCCAGTCCCTGAATATTTCCATGCTAATGTCTGTCATAAATGGCAAAGCCATTTTTGCTAGAGAAAAAACACACTGGTACAGATGGAATTTGGGACTGCACTAGCTAGGGACACTTTTGAAAAAACTGAATTTCCATGGCCAACAACCTTGTGCTTTTAATGATAAGAAAGGCAGTATGTAGAATTTTGTGGCTTGCTTAAAAAATAATTTTATGGCTTACTTGAAAATAAGTGTCTTTTTTGGTTAACTTGGAAGCATATGTATTTGCAGATTCTTAGCATATGTTGTTCCTTTCTTATTTTCTTTCTCAGGAGAGTTGTATTGTTCTTTGCCCGACCCTAGGAATGTCCATTTTGAATCTATAAACATGAAGAATGTCCTTCACTGGTCAGCACCAGAAGGCACAGGAGATGGAGTACTCTACAAGGTGAAGTATTCAGTGTAAGTTGGCTTCTTTATTTTATCCCCACTGACTTTTATTTTAGCATTTTAAATAATAATTTAAAAAATCTTTATGCAGATAGGGCTGCGAAAAAGTAAAGAAAGGAGAACTAAAATGTGGGTTAGACTTAAGCAGTACAGTTTTTAACTTTTACTTCTGGTACTGCTTACTTCAGGTCCAGTTAAAAAAAATTTGTGAGGAGACTTTCTTCCTATGAAGGAAGTTTGGGATGCAACATGGAAGCTTTCAGGGGCATTCCTGAGAAATAAGACAGAAGCATGAAGGACCATGCTGTGGATTGACATCTGTACGCATTTAAATGGATCTGGAGATGCAGTATTTAACAGAATATTAACAGCACCCCATGTTTCATTGGTCTTTTCTAACAGACTCCACCCCCATTGTTTTCTTCTGATCCCACAAGCCTCTCTAGTCTAGGAGAAAATCCACCAAAGTTATCAAGTATTGTAGAAAACCAAGTAATGTGATTGGAATCAGGCCCTTACATTTTCAAGGTCTGCACCTTTCTGGGTGTGTTGCGTCTGGCTGAGATGGAGTTAATTCTCCCCATAGCAGCCCTCGTAGTGCTGTGCTCTGCATTGGTAGCTAGAAAGGTGTTGATAGCACACCAGTGTTTTGGCTACTGCTGAGCAGTGCTGGCACAGCTTCAAGGCTGTCTCTCCAACATTTTCGCCCCCCTCAACGGCAGGCTGGGGCTGGGCAAGATCTTGGGAGGGGACATAACCAGGACAGCTGACCTAAACCAACCAAACAGATATTCCATACCATATGACGTCAGCTCAGATATAAAAGCTAAGTAAAGGCAGACGGAAGAGGGGGCATTTTTGTCTTCCAGAGCAACCACTACGCGTACTGAAGCCCTGCTTCCCAGGAGGTGGCACCCAGCCAGGGTCAACCCACCACAGTCCTTTTTGGTGCCTAACATGGGGCACGACGACGGCAGTTTTGCATTAAGCATGCTATAGCTAGTTATTAAGTGGCAAGCTCCTGTGCCTGTCATGGAGTTTGTTGGCTGCTTGCTTATCTCTATTTTGCTGAGCTTGGGAACACAGTAATACAAATAATGGCTATGTGCTTTGTCCTGGCACTGATGGCTTTGCTGTGCTGTGGGAGCTATCTTGTGGAGGAGATGAGGGAATACATCTCCCTCTCCCTACCTGGCATTGATACAAATGGATTTGTTATGCAGGCTCCCGAGGTCCTTGTTCCACCCTTATGTGAGCTATTCAATACTAATAATTAATACTGGTGGTATATTATGGGGTTTGTGGAATCTGGTCTCATCCTGGTATAAGAGAAGACAAGTTTTGGGTGAGGCAATACTGAAATGTGCCCTCAAGCAACCAGTCCCTGGCTGGCAGGGTGTATGGAAGAATTTGGGCAGATTCCTAGGATGGGTATCACCTCCCATAACCTGGGACTTTACACCCAAACAGGCAAGCAACGCTGGCAAACTGATGTGCCACCTGATAGAGGGGTGCCTTGTCTACCCCCATGAAAACCAGCAGCTCCTCACACTGTACTGGGGCCTGGCCTATGCCTATCAAGCCATAGTTCAGCAGTCTCAGAGGACTATGGTTGAGGCAGGGACCCAAACTGCAGCTGAGGACACCACGCTTGAGATAGGGACCCAAACAGCAACAGTAGGATATCAAGGAATTTGAGTGAGGACCAGAATCCATTTCCTTTATTCCCACCAAGAGAGCACTGGGTCATTCTGAAGGATGTGCTGGAAGTTTAGCTTACAAATAGGTGTTGTCATGGATGATGTCATGCTCCCAATCTTTATCTCTAATATTTACACTTCCCTTGATCTAGTAATGTTTTCATGACACTAAACCAAATGTAGATCTCCAGAAGTTTCCTGCAACTTGAACTGGCTACTACAGAGGCTGCAATCTCTTTTGCTCAGATCTTGCCCTCTGTGCTAACAGAGGAGCCACAGTCCAGCTCCTAGAAAAGGGGAGAGTGCTCAGTAATTATGGAATGAAAGATAATTGTGTAGAATGTGAGAGCTCAGAGAGCACTAGCTACGCTGACTCTGCAGGGTCAGCTGGTCCACAGAAGAGTCTGTAGTCATAGATATGGTCATCTTTCACACTGAATATAAAAATATTCATATGTGCCTCTACCCACCTAGGAGAGCAAGGCCTTGAGCTGGGTGGAAAATGCTGGTAAGTGATACTGTCCTGCAGTCATGTAGAAGCTGCCACACACCCTTACTAATTAGCAGCCAAAGGGGAGTTCTTAATAATGTGAATTTAAGGAGCAGGAGCTTCTGAGCAAATCCAGGCAGGAATTTTCCAAGGAAATCTTGATTTCTTCTGCTAGTGTATTAAGAGCTGGTCAGTACCGAGGCATTGTTGGTAGCAAGTATATGCCCCTTTCTCAACTAGAAGGGTTTTGAAGTTCATTGTATTCCAATGGAGTCTTTCTTTTAAACTAGAAAAAGAATTGACAGTCAGCAATGAGTAGTCTCCTGTCCACTCATCTTGGATGCCCTGAGCATCATCTGTCTCCGTACACGAGGATGAGCCACTGACCATTCTGTGAGAACTCTTTGTCTCTATATAAATAGTTATCCTGACTCTGTTATCTTGTGTTTAGAGTTTAAACTAAAGTGGTAGAGACTGAAGTAGAAAGATCTCTGGTCTGTGCAAGCAAAACTGGACTTAGATTGGTATCAGTAAGATCCCAGTTAGTTCTACATGGCCTCTTCTGGATAGGGCCTTCTCTGATTTATTTTTCATGAAAAACTTTTGAAAATCTTGTGTTTTATCTCAGCTGAAATTGGGAATTCCTTGAAATTGCAGTTTTCTGCATAACAAGCAAACTGTTTTATCAGCCATAATATCAGTTTCTGTGCTATGTTACGAGGTGACTAATATCACGGCAATATCTTTTGTACAGCTCCATTCTCTTTCTTTTTCAATATAGATACGGTGTTGGCAAATGGATTAGAAAGCCAGAATGCAGGAATATTAACAGAACATGGTGTGACCTCTCCAGTGAGACCTCTGACTATGAAGAGCAATACTACGCAAGCGTTAAAGCCTTCCTAAATGGGATGTGCTCTGACTGGATGGAGACCACACGATTCAACCCTCTTACAGACAGTAAGGAAAGCTAATCACGCAGCCAGATGTTCAATGGCCTTGATTAATACTGTGTGCTCAGACTGCATGTACCTTCATAGCGTGTGATATTTTAACATGAGGTTAGGGTTTTTTGCAGTTGTTTCACATTTATGCTTTTGGCAGAAGTAATTGAAATAATAATGTTAGAATTTGGATATATGTGTGTTAGATATACGGTCTTGTATATACTGAATACTCTTTCGTGCTATGGTAAAGCTTTACTCAAGGCAAATAAAATCTGTGGCACATCCACAGTATAAAGAGCTCTTATTTTAAAAAGGCTCTATTAAACCAATCAGTAATCGTACTTTAGATCACAATATCTCTTATCTGTGCCAGATAATCTGAGAACATCCTGGTAATTTAGCTTGTTTTAGCAAATGGAGTTTTAAGGTTGTAAACTGCGAAGCCACAGGAATTCCTAGGCAAAATTCCAAGTCAGTGTTCACCTTCTCACTATAAAGATCCTCTTAGTTATCTGATAAAATAATTTTCTAGCAATATAAATGAATTGTTCAAAGTCCTAGACACCTCAAAACATTACAAAAATTTAATATCATCCACTTCAAGAAACTGCATGGACAAATCAGTGTGCCTCTGCTGCATTTGACTGGTTTTTGTACATGTTCATTTTTCCAGCTAAAATTGATCCACCCATGGTAAGTGTATCTTCTACTGAGAAATCTATTTCAATTGTTCTGACTGCTCCTGAGAAGTGGAAGAGAAGTCCTGAAGAAGAATCCGTATCTCTGCTTCAGGTGTATCCTGGCCTGCAATACAATGTGTCTGTCCTCAACAAAAAAACAAAGAAGCGGGTAAGCTTTGTCAAGGCTGTAGAACTGGACCTATTAAATCTGTGCTCTGTGCTTCTTAAAATGCACTTTGTCCGCAACAGCAAGGATCGCAATAGGATTCATACCTTCATAGGAATTGTAGGATCATTTGGGTTGGAGGGAAGCTCAGGAGATCTCTAGTCCGAAGTCCAGTTCGAAGCAGGATCAGCTGTGAGCTCAGACCAGGTCGCTCAGGGTTTGTCCAGTTGCATCCTGAAAACCTCCAAAGACGGAGACTGCACAATCTGTTCCACTGCTTGATTTTCTGCTTAGGGAAAGAATATTTCTTTATATCCAATCTGAACCTCTCTTTTTGAACTTATGTCCATTGTCTCTCATCCTCCCACCGTTCAGCACTGTGAACAGCCTGGCTCTGCCTTCTTGATGACCTCCCTGGGTCATCCTGGGGGCTGCTCTTAGGTTCCCCTGAAGCCCTCCCTTCTTCCCTAGGTGGGACAAACTCCAGTCCTTCAGCCTCCCCTCACAGGGCAAGTGCTCCAGCCCCAGCCATCTTGGTGATCCTCTACAAACCCACTGCAGTTTGCCAGTCTTTTCTGTATTGGGGGGAACAAAACTGGTCATGGTGTTCTGGATGTGGTCTGATGAGCACTGAGTGGAGGGCAATAATCCTTTCCTCCATCTGCTCCCTCTTCTCCTGTTAACACAGCCCAGGATGCTGCTGGCCTCCTTTGCTGTGAGGGCACGTTGCTGGCTCACATTCAGCTCACTGCCTGTCCCCAGTCCTCTTTGGCAGGGCCACTCCCCAGCCAGTCAGTCTACCAGCAATACTCACAATACATCGTGACAAAGTCCATCCTTTGTCACTACATCTGAACGTCTTCATTTGCCTGTCTCTGCAGATTGACATTTCATTAGCAAGTAGTATTTCCCAGCACAAACACAGTAGATGAGGAAGAGTTCAGTGATCAGCTAAAAAAACCCATTCATTCTTCTGTTCCCGTCCTCCAGGCACAACCTCTATCTGGCAAATCTCTGAATTTCCTGAACTGAGACAGAAACTTTGCACCAAAAAGGTCACCTTCTGTCAAGAGGGATATTAAAATGCCAAGGTTAACAATTAGAGGAAGACAAAAGTTAGGTTGTTCGGTTTCGGGGGTTTTTTTTCCATAAAGATGCTTGACATATAGCAGTTGCTTTACTTTGAACTCCAAGGTTTACATAACACCCATTATTCTAAGGCTCCTATCTTTACCAGAACATCCCAATTTGAAAGATTTTGTGAAACTGTACTCTGTGCCTTTTATTGGCCTATGTGTCAGGACAGGGCTGGAGTGATGCTTTAGCTCTACTGCAACATCAGCATGAGAATGTGGGCTAATGGTGGCACATGGTTCTACTTCATATAAAGCATGAAGTTGTTCAGTAGTGGTAGAAGAATGATTGAATGGAAGGTGAAATATTCAGAGAGGACATGACCTAATAAATAACTTGAGTTTTGATTGTATTTGTTAAAAAAAGGATGCAGCTGGCAGTTCTTATAGTATCATTATTCTTTCCAGAAAATATGTGTGCTTGTGACACATTTTGTATGGAAGATATTTACCTTTCCATAACTGAGGAGTTAAAGGGGGAGAAAATTTTTTTTTTTTTTTTTTTTTTTTATGTCTTTCAGTGGTTCTTCTCCATCAGCAACAACACCTTGGTTGTGCCCTGGTTAGAACCTGGAACAACTTATTGTGTCAGTGCACAGATACGTGTCACCACACCACTTTTGCACAGTGGGTTCTCCAAAGAATGTTGCATTGCTACATTGAAAGGTATGTGTAAGCTGGCAAATTACAAAGAGAAGATGCAAGTTAGAAAAAATCATGGTGATTGCGTTTCTAAGTTTTTTATGTATCAATTCTGAGAGTGAAAGCTAACATTGTTTCTCCCCTCTCTGTGCATTTGTACCAATGAAAAAATCTTTGCCTTTAATAAAACATAGCTGGGATCTACTGACTAGAAAGTATGTCAGTACCTCTGAGGAGAAGGATCTGCATTCTTTGAGTCTAAGTGAATGGATAACATTTTTTCTCCTTGAATGAGGTTTGGGAGTGGCAGAGATGGGTCAGTCTGAATTTAGCAGCAGGAGAACCTGAGGGAGGAGTTGTTACTTCTTTTTAGAATTTATTTTATAATTTCGATAATAATAAAAATTTGTCCTGTAGCTCAAGTGCCATTTTTTAAAAAATTTCCTGCAAATTCCTTGTTTATTTAAAACGTTTGCATCCCATAGCCAAAAAGCAATGTGGTGAATGCACACATTACTATCTGAATACATTAAAAAGTTGCTCGGTACAATGAAAACTTTTGTTTTGTTAACAGATAAAACAGCAGATGAGACTATAACAGTCACATTTGGATGTGTTCTGCCTGTCATGCTGGCTGTCCTTTTTATTTCAATGACATGCTATTGTGTGCACAGGCATATTCACGTCAGCAAACAGAAACATCCAACAAACCTGGTAAGTGTTCTGTGTTGCAGGAGGTCACTGCCAACCTTGGCACTCACAGCAGAGCTGTGCATTTTCCGCGGCTCCAAGTCAGCTGGGATGAAACCATGGCTAGCTACAAATAAAAGCTCTAGTTGTCACTCAGATTAAGAAAAGAACATCTCAATGAGGGTTATTAAATGTGAGAAAAACAGAGTAATAACTCAAGTTAGCAACTGTATCTAAAAGATGACCAGAGCTAATGAGGATCAGAACAGAACTGTTTGTTTGGGAAGAGTCATTGTCATAAGCAAGGTCTGAGGTGCACTGAGGCAAGCTCTGTTAGGAAGTCAGCACTCCCTAAATGTATCTAGGAAGAAGCACCTTACCTAGAAGAGATTCAGTGAACAAAGGTTATTAATTGGTTGAATTCAGAAACAAGAAGGGCAGATAATTAAGCAGTACTGAAACCCCATGATGTTGTTTTGGACTATTACTGGGTATTACCAGATTCTTCCACTTAATTGTGATTGTGAAGGATTTAGCACGTGTGCATCACACAGATAATTTAATCTGCATTTCAAGAATACTTTCAAATATTGCACCATTTCCTAACACCCCAAAATGTCTGAGCAAACACATTCTGTTAGACAGCCCAAATACACTTTCTACGTAAAATGTTTGCAAGTTTCTTAGACCTGCAAAGCTTGTTAATTTTTAGAAAGAACACATAAAGTCTAAGAAATGTTACTGGTTTCCAGCTCAGAAGCCCAGCAGAGCTTTCTCACAGCTATCTCTAAACAAGTTGCTCAACCATAAACATGCAATTACAATAATGAATGAACACTTTGATGTTAATCCCATCTGCGTGATGCTGTGGGATGGGAGGTATAAGGGAGTTGGTTTCAACACGCTGGTCTTTCTGAAGAAATCTAGAGCAGCACAGAGGTGACAGGAGAAATGTTCACAGAGGGGCTGTGGGTTCAGAAGGAGTAGAGCAGCTACTGCTGCAGTGTGTTCAGATGTGCACAGAGACACCTCCTGCACTTGTTGAGGCACCAGCTTTATCACTGAATCATGGAATCACAGGGTGGTTTGGGTTGGAAGGGACCTTCAGAAAATCATCTAGTCCAACCCCCCTGCCATGGGCAGGGACATCTGTCACTAGACCAGGTTGCTCAAAGCCCCATCCAGCCTGGCCTTGAACACTGCCAGAGATGGGGCATCCACAACCTCTCTGGGCAACCTCTTCCAGTGCCTCACCACCCTCATAGTAAAGAATTTTTTCCTTCTATCCAGTCTAAATCTACCTTCTTTCAGTTTAAAACAGTTGCCCCTTTCACTACAGGCCCTGGTAAAAAGTCTTTCACCATCTTTCTTATTCTTTATTCTTTATCCTGGGATGCAGGACATGGTGGGGAGATAGCTTGGTCTCCCTTGGAGAGCTAGCAGGACAGAGCTGTTTACAGTCCAAGAACATAAAGGGCCAATTAGTGAAAAATTCCCACTCAATAGCAGACTGAACTCCAACTCCAGGAGTTCTTTCTCTAATAAATGTAAAATTTGTATGTTGGGGGTGGGTGGGTGTTTAATGTCCATTGCACTTTTTTATGACCACCTTGAAGCTTCAGTTTTATTTCTCCACCTCTGGATTCAGTTACTGTTAAGGTAACAAATGAGTATAGACCTGGTATTTTAATGATGCTCTCTGGCTTTCCCAACCTACAGACGATTCCACATGGGCACCACATGTGGTCAGAGGGAGGTGGAATAAGCAGTTTGTTTTGGTCCAGCACTTCTGCCCTGGGGGAGCTTTCAGACTACATGGTACATTGATTAGTGGTCTTAGTCTTCCATTCAAGCTTGAAAGCACTGAAGTGCAGCTTCTGGCTGTTGTTTTTCTGTTGCACTTTCCTTTCGTGACTGCTCATACAGTATTTACTACTGTTAGAAACATTACTCGTTTCAGAAAGATTCCTATTGTTTAACTAGATGATCTATCACAGGGTCACAAAAGCAGCCTGTGACAGACTGCACAATGCAGGCTCCATATGCTGTACTTCAACGTGATGTATAGCTTCTTCTCTGAAAGGAAACCTGATACTATTTAGTATTCTGTAAGCTATACCTTAACATGGTACCTGACTGTGCTTCTGGGGTGTGGTTTTGACTGCACTTCTCTTCACTGGTTAAAAAGAGTGGAATAGATTCTGTAATCTGTGACCCAAGGACAACTCTGATGTTTTCTCCAAAGTCACTTGAGTTTATGCAAGTGGAAACAAAAACAGAACTTGACAAAATTGTTCTAATCATTATTTTGACATGCAGAAGATGAGAGAAGGGATATTAGAGCTGGTCATAATACAGTTTTACTTCAGATAGCATAAAAAAAGTGGAGCATATTAACACCGCTGGAGGTTTATGTGATGAAATTTCCTTTTTCCCTAAATTGAAATAACCTCCTAGTAAAGTCTAGCCTAGCCTTATATTTTAAAAATATATGACAGTATAAGAAGTAGCAAGATGGTATTTTTATTATACTTCACTCAAAACTATTTTTTTTTTTCCAGGTATGGCACTACACTGACAAATGCAAAGAAAGGGTTTTCATACCATGTGAAAAAATAGTGGTCAACATTATCACTGTTAACATGGATGAGTACAAGCCATCTCAGGAATCCAGTCGTCTATCAGGAGGGAAAAGTCCCTGTTACTACACCATTTACAATGGCACCGAAGGGAAGGATTTGCCTTCAAAAGAAGTGCCGGAAACAAAACACTTGCTTGATATTTCACATGAAGATATTACACACAAAGAGGAAGGGGACAAAACTGGGAATTGGCCATCTTATGGCCAGCCTAGAACAAACAATACCTTCAGACAGAAAAATGCAGGGACTGTAGAGTATGAACATGATGTAAGGGCTGAAGACTTCACTCCCAGTCAGAAACTAGAAGAGAAAACTTCTGCCCCCAGGGGACTACCAGGTGAGCCACAGATTGCTTTGGGGGACTTGGGTAATAAGAAAACAGGACAGCCGTATTGCCCCCAACTACTGGTGAGGGCAGCAGACCCTTGTTTGGGACAGAAAATAGAGGAACTTAATTTGAAGATGGTTGATGCAGCAGATGAATTGCCAAGTGAGACCCATATCAACTTGGTGGACTTAGACACTGAAAAATCTGGGCAGACATCCTATCCTCAGCTGGAAGAAATAGCACAGGGTCTCACGGAGAAAGAGGGTGAACAGACCATAGTAGTAGATTGGGATCCCCATACTGGAAGACTGTATATTCCTACCTTGTCCAGTGTTGAAAATCAGGTGTGCGAAGGAGTATTCAAGTGTGATGATCCTGACAAAGAGGGAATTTTGTCCAGACTGTATGAGAAAAAGGTATCTGACGAATCATCAGAGGACCAAGAAACATATCTCCTGCAGTTCAAGGAACAATGGGGACTGCATGTAGAAATGGAAGACTGAACAATAATTTTCTAAAATATTCTAAAATGCAAAATCTTGTTTACTTTGCCAAAGAGAGTGGTAGACTCAGTGGAGCAAACACATCTTAATGTATTGAAGTTTTCAAGAACGTAACAGTTGAACAACTTATTCATATGTTATTTATAACAGTTTCCAGACATGATGTAAGTGATTTTGACCTCCATCATAAACGTCTGAGGTAAAACATGATGGTTATGAGATTATCTTCTTTTTAAAAAAAGATATATTTTTACACAGGGTGCTGTTAGGATTTTCACATTGTAATCCTACCAAAACAAATTATCAGCATTTGAAGACAGTTATTTTTAGCAAATAAAAAGCAACAATATGACATTTTGCTGGGCTATTTCATGTATCTTGACACAATGCAGTCTTTCCTAGGTTTCACTCCTGCTACTTGTAATGGTTTGAGCTGACTTTTGTGGAAGTTAAGGGCACTCCAGTATATATTTTGTTTCCGTTTTATAAATACTCTTCTACTTTGTGAAGTTCTTATTTCTGTTGAAAGACTTGTCTGAGGTGTGGGGTCCCTTCCATACTGAGCCATGCAGATATGCAACCAGCAACAATTCTTTTAGCAGGCATGCCTACAAGCTCAACAGATGTAAGGGAGAAGAAAGCAAGCATTAGTCATACTTTAAACTGGGGGGAAAATGTGGCACAGAGGGATTCAGTGAAATGCCTGTAATCTTACTGGATGGAGCGTGTCTCACCCAGCCTTAGACACTCGCAGTACAGCATCTGTATGACTCATGTCCTGCAAGTGTCTGTTCCTCTCCAATGACTTTCACGGCAGGCTGGTGTGACTAGCTCAGGCAGAATTCTGCCCCAGACACACTGCTGCTTCTTCAGACACATCCCACTTGCCACGGCAGACCCAGAAAGTGTCCCTGTGGGCTTTCTTTTATTATCTGGTGTCCTGACCAGGACTTTTGATACAAGTTTACTTTTTCTCCACGTCATGTGATATTTATTGAGGATAGTAAAATTACAGGATATTCTAGAAATTAATTACTAGGGCAAATGATATTTTTTCTTTTCAAAGCGTATCTGTCACTTTTCCACTTAATGGACTTTTTTTTGTATACCAAAAAAAAATCATAGTAATGATTTGTTTGGTTTTGAAGAGGAGAAGCAAAATCCAGAGGAAAAAAAACTTTCTGAGATGTTTAAAACTTGTACCCTCCAAACTAGGTACATGGTTAGGTGTATTTTTGAAGGAAGACCTTTACCAGTATCTTTTCTCTTGGGTAATGTTTTGGTTGCATGACCTTGGCATTTTCTGTGACTATTCATTCTCTGACATATTTCAGTTGTAGTCATAGTCTTTAAAACCAGAAATGACAGTAAAATATTTCATGCTGATGTCTCCTGATCTGATGTAAACAATGCCCTCAACTGCTTTTATAGTAAAGGTACAGGTCATGTAGCAATGTTATACCTAATTACTAATATCAGTGCCTTTGTGCATTGGGAGGTTAGTGAGGAGGGTTATAGCTCAGTATGAAAGAAGAAAATAGTTGGAGATGTGAAAAAGTCAAAATTTCTGCTACTACCAGCCTCATTTAAGTCATCCAAAATATTTCTCAATATATCCTAAAGATTTCTTAACTAACCTCTTTGTGCATAATCTCCTGATTGTCTTCTGCAATGTGGGGCCTCTAATGCATAGGTAGGAAACAATTATTTACTTTTCTCTGTAGTCCATTGAATTTTACCTAGTTGGTGCTGTTCTAAGACCAATCACTTGTGTTTAGTGTCTGTCTTCCATATGGAAGGATGAGGATGCTCCAGCTCCCTAAACAGTTTGGTGCAGCTGCCAACCAATCTTCCTTAAAGAGGAAGGTATCCCTTATTTTTGGTTTGTATTTCCCCTGGCCTTCTTTGCCAGCTGCTGGTGTCTGCTCCTTCTTTTTTTGTTAGATAAACAAGCCTTGCACTGACGGTTACTACATAGAAGGACATTTAACGTATGGTAATCAAGTCATTGCTGATAAAAATTTGAAAACTTGGTAACTAAACCATAGAATCTCACTTCATTCAGTTCTCTGGTCATTGTAATCTGCGTTCTCTGTATCTTACCCCCTTTTTTTTTTTACTTTTCAATTACAATTAAGGCATTTATTTCCTCTCTTGTACTTGAAAAGGCATTGCCTTCCTAGTTAACATTACTCATGATCAGGGCACGAGGTACTGAGATGCTTGCAATCACAGATGCATTTTCACGATAAATTTATGCTTTGAAATAATAGTTAATTTTTGGATCAAAATATTTGTAATGGAAGTGTGCAGCACTTTCAGTGTTGCTTCCTTTTGATCTGAATTTGCATTAAATTCAGAACTGATACTAGATTATTCAAACAGTCCTTCATATTTATAAGATATGCTTTCAAAGTGTTCTCGGAATAATCACAGCAAACAAAGCTGGGGAAAGAAAATAGTAAACAAAGCTAAGAACTTTCTTTTATATGCAGAAGAATTTTTTGGGTTAGCTAGTCAAGTTCTGGAATTGATGAGGCAGAAAAAATGGTGTCAATTTCCATCAGTATAATACCAGTAAATTGTCGATGGCTTTTCTAATATCCTCAAAGTTACTCGTATTTTTCCTTAAAATCTTCTAATTATATGAAACAAATGAAACTGATCAGACATGGTACCTTCAGCAAGCCAAACAGTCAGCAAGGAGCAAAATACTTCCATGTAAAATTGTAATTCTACCTACAAGATTTCAGACAAGAGGCAACTATTAATTACATGGAAGATCCAAGCAGTAAGAGAGCTGACATGTCCCTAGTCTTTATTACACTTCATTAAACTTTAGTTAGCCACTTTAGCAGACTCAATGCAGCCAAAAGCAAATACTACACACTATGCTAACATAAGGCTCTTTGTAGCCTTGAAATAAATTATTTTGAAAATTATGTGGGAGGTGAATAGAACTAAGTAGAAGTACATTGAGGACAAAAGGATGTCTATTTCTTGACTACTGTGGCAATGAAAATGGAACTTTACCTGTGTTTGCAGGGCTGCTGTGACCGCTACTGGAAAAACTGCATCCAGTTTACACAATAAGCCTAGCCATGAAGATAGAAGGCAAATACTACTATAAAAGGACTAAGCAATGCTCTTTTGAGCTTGAAAAAAAGAAACCTAGCTATCAAAATGCGATCTAATGGTGATGAAACTGATACCTAGGTGTGGGCACACACAGTTTTGGAAAAGGAACTATAATTTGTAAGTGTGGTTTTGCTGCCTACAGCTTAGAGAGTGACAGGGTTCTTGAAGGAGAGACTGAAACAGGGAGCTGAGTGCAGGATACCTGTGGTCTGACTTACAGCAGCCCTGGAAAAACTACTGCACAATGAGAACAAGCAGATAGAAAAGTCCAGCTACGGCAGGCAAAAGTGCAGTATGAGCTGTGTGCCTGGCACGATAAGGACTGCAGCTGGGGTGCCCGCCCAGTGCATGAAGTTAGCCAGATGAGGAATACATGGTGCAGGATAACCTGTAATGTGAAGCACAGGGAAATGATCACATTGTTAGAAGGAAAGCCAAACTGCACAGCCGTTGGATGTGAGCAGCTGGATTGCCTGGACTTCACAGGGCAGTCTCATCACCTCACCAGAGGACCACTAAAGGAGCATGGGTGGCTGGACAAGGCTGAGCTGAGGATGTTCTCTGCAAAAGTGGGATCAAAAAGAGTTCTTGGAGTGGCCCACTGTGGGCAGCCGGTAAGCAGGTGCATTTTGGAGATACCAGCAGTATATTAGCATCTGTGATGGACCAGTAATTCGCAGCATGCTGGTAATGCAGTGGTTGGAAGGAGAGGTGGGCTCTGGAAAGAGTAGCTAACACTGTTAATCAGATAGTACAGCTCTTCCTACGGATATTAAGGTAGGTCTAGCAAGAGCTCTGAAAAACAATCTTGGGGTCTAGAAAACACACAGTATGAAAATGTCCTGAGCAAGGAAATATTTCAAATTACATTATTAATAAATGACTGCACAGAAACATGCTCAGTTTCTACTGATTTCAAATTAAATTTTAAGTTAGGCTTATGCTTTAGCAATTCCCTAAAGAGGAATGAATTCCTGAATTTGGGACTGACAAAATCTATCAAAGTTTATCAGAAGAGAGTTAAGTTATGACTTCCATAAGGCCTAACTTGCAAATACAGGCTTAGCCAGATGAAATGATTGGAATGTGAAGCAAGCGAAACCTAAAATAGAACAGCAGCGTGGTTTGAACATTTTAAAACAAAGACAATTGACTATTTACCAAGGGCTGTGAAAATTCTCCAATGCCTGTAGGTCTTTCAAACAAGCATGTCTTTCTTCAATAATAATGCTAACAGATGGGTGACATTTCTTGCCTGGAATATGCTGAATGGTATAATGGTGCTCATACGCTGTCAAGTCTTCAAACTGATTAATCCTTTTTTTCCTCTTTAAATAAGACATGTTGGCTCATCTATACAGTGGAGTTAAAAACCAGTTATTCCAAGCACCATATTTTTGAACAATTGCAGCTTCTATGTCCGACATGATTCATTCTTGCAAAGTCGAAGGTTAAAACCTGTTCAGCTATCTCCCATTGTCCATTCAAAATACCAGTGTTCTCCATAAAAGGAAGACACAGCAACAAGTCAAGATTTTTCCACTTTCATTTTGCATGTAGGTTTCATGCTTCATCAGCCCAGGATCACATAGCAGGAAGTGTAGGAAGTCATTTTCATGTTTAGTGTCATCTAGAAACCATAAAGATTTTTGGTAATTTGTACCGGCAATAATGCTAAGCTGGTCTCTAATGTCTCACTGTCTTTTCCCTTTCTGGTACAGAAAAAAAAAGAGAACAAAATGTACAGACCTCAGTTTTCTAAAACCTCCAGAATCAGTATAGCTGAGACAGATTTTTCCTGGACTAAGTTAGGTTTTAAGAAGAGGACTTGCTCCTTAGCACCACATAGCTATGAAAATCCT